TATCTGTCTGTAAACAATGGTTCGAAAAAATGTCTGGTGTCGTTCACAAAGTAGATGTCCTAACCGACTTGCCAAAACTATAGTTTGTTAAAAAGAATTTGGGGAGTGGTTGGAAACGATTTTTAATGACTCCAACCTAAGTGTATGTAAACTTCCGACTTCAACTGTATATATAGAGAGAGATGGACTGATAGAGAGACATGATATAGACACGTCTTCCCTAAGGAGAGATCTCAGGTCACTCTGAATGAATGGATAGAGAGAGACAGAGAGAAACAGAGAGAAAGAAAGAGAGAGAAAGAGAGAGAGCGAGCGAGAGAGAAGAACAGAGACAGAGACGAGAGAGACAGAGACAGAGAGAGAGAGAGAGAGGGGAGAAAAACAGAGACAGAGACAGAGGAGACAGAGAGACAGAGACAGAGACAGACAGAGACAGAGACAGAGAGAGACAGAGACAAAGACAGAGACAGAGACAAAGACAGAGACAGAGACAGAGAAGACAGGGAGAGACAGAGAGAGACAGAGACAGAGAGACAGAGAGAACAGAGAGAGCCAGAAGAGAGACAGAGAGAGAGACAGAGAGAGATGAGAGAGACAGAGCAGAGAGAGACAGAGACGAGACAGAGAGTGACAGAGACAGAGAGAGACAGAGAGCAAGAGAGACAGGACGAACCAAGAGGACAGAGAAAGACAAGAGAGAGACAGAGACAAAAGAGAGAGACAAGAGATAGAGAGAGAAAAACAAGATGACAGACAGAGAGAGACAGAGACAGAAGACAGAGATAGAGACAGAGAGAGAAAAAGAGGACAGAAGAGAAAGAATAGACAGGAGAGACAGAGAGAGACAGAGACAGAAGAGACAAGAGAACAAGACACAGAGACAGAGAGAGACAAAAGAGACGAACGAGAGAAGACAGAGAGCGACAGAAAGACAGAGACATAGACATAGACAGAGACAGAGAGAAGACAAGAGAGACAGAGAGGAACAGAGATAGACAGAGGAGACAGAGACAGAGACGAGAGAGAACAGAGACAGAGAGAGACAGAGACAGAGACAGACCGGAGACAGAAGAGAGAGACAGCGAGAGACAGCGACATAGACGATAGACAGATACAGAGCGAGAAGACAGAGGAACAGAGACATAGACAGGAGACAAGACATAGACAGATAGAGGAGAGAGAAGATAGAAGAGAGAGAACCGAGAGAGATCGACAGATAGAGACAGAGACAGAGAACAGAGACATAGACTTAGGCAGCCAGGATCAGACAGAGATCCACAGAGAGAGAGACAGAGAGAGAGACAGACAGAGACAGAGACAGAGAGAAGAGAGAGGAGAGAGAGAGAGAGAGAGAGAGAGAGAGAGAGAGAGAGAGAGAGAGAGAGAGAGAGAGAGAGAGAGAGAGAGAGAGACAGATACAGACAGAGACAGAGACAGAGACAGAGACAGAGACAGACAGAGACAGAGACAGAGACAGACATAGACAGACATAGACAGAGACAGAGAGAGACAGAGAGAGACAGAGACAGAGACAGAGACATAGACAGAGACAGAGACAGAGACAGAGACATAGACAGAGACAGAGACAGAGACAAGAGAGACAGAGAGAGACAGAGAGAGACAGAGACAGAGAGAGACAGAGACAGAGACAGAGAGAGACAGAGAGAGACAGAGAGAGAGAGAGACAGAGACAGAGACAGAGACAGAGAGAGACAGAGAGAGAGATGCTCATGCAGCGTATCGATGGAGGTAGAGAGGGAGAGATAAAAAGGCAGATTGAGAGAGTGATACGGGCTCAGAGAAAGAGAGGTGTAGATGGAGGGAGGGAGGGAGGGAGGGAGGGAAAAGAAAGAGAGAAGGACTGAGGGAGAGCGGGAAGGAGAAGACACTTATGTACAGTGAGGGGTTCTAGTCTAAATGGTGTGCTTTCATACCTGGGACGTGAAATCTGCTGACGCCACTTAAACAAATGACAGACCATAAATAAGACGTCAGAAGCACCTTGGGTTATTAACAGAGTGAGCAGAGTAGCAGCCGGCGAGGCGTAGCCAGGCCAGACAACAGACACTGCTGCTCTGTCCCTTACCAACACACACTCCAAACACACACACACACGGCACCTGGAGGGAGAGAGGGAAAGAAGGAGATGGGCATGGAGAGAGAGCGAGAGAATGTGGGAGAGAGCGAGGTTAGAGGAAGAGAATGAACAACAACCAGGAGAGGACTATTGAGAAAGGGGGGGGGGGGGGGGGGGGGGATTAGGCGGAAGAGAGGGTGGCAGGATAGGAGCTGTAGTTAAATGGAAGAAGAGCGGATGAGAAGATGGTAGAAGATGCAGGTGGAGGAAAAGAAGAGAGGAAGAGAGGGATGAGAGATAGAGAGGTAATGAGGGGGACAGGAGATAGACGAACAAGAGCACCACTCATTAAGAATAAAGGCTCCATTAGTCAGCAAACTGTGTGTGTGTGTGTGTGTGTGTGTGTGTGTGTGTGTGTGTGTGTGTGTGTGCTTCATAAGTAGAATGAAGGGACATAAAGTGATGCCACAGTGATAGGCAGTGGACACAGACACACGCACGCAGGCCCACACTCACACACACATGCGCACACTCCTGGATCTTACTGCAGCAATTCATACTTACTAACTACATATTGATACGGCAAACAGCACAGACCCACGGTCTGAACGCTGATGAAAGACTGATGAGTTGTGTGTGTGTGTGTGTGTGTGTGTGTGTGTGTGTGTGTGTGTGTGTGTGTGTGCTTCATAAGTAGAATGAAGGGACATAAAGTGATGCCACAGTGATAGGCAGTGGACACAGACACACGCACGCAGGCCCACACTCACACACACATGCGCACACTCCTGGATCTTACTGCAGCAATTCATACTTACTAACTACATATTGATACGGCAAACAGCACAGACCCACGGTCTGAACGCTGATGAAAGACTGATGAGTTTGTGTGTGTGTGTGTGTGTGTGTGTGTGTGTGTGTGTGTGTGTGTGTGCCTGCCCAGAGAGGCAATGGGTGTGTGTTCACTTCACAGCAGCCAGCCAAGAAGCCAAGGAACACAAAACCACAATGATAATGCGCAAAAATTAACGACCTGTACTCCAACGATAATATGCATATAGATGGACCCTGAATGCATCCTGAGAGAAATCGATAAGGAAGATCATATATTGCAGTTGTATAATTTATTGTGACATACAGAATGCACAACCACAGCACCGGCAACTCCTGCAAATACCCTGCAGCTCAGCATTCCAAACATTAGTGCTGCTTGGTAGATTTCAGCCAGTGGTTTGTGCAGGTGGATGGAAATAAACAGCTCAGGTGTGAATATACAGATCCTGATAGCTGGAGAGTCCCACAGTGTGTGTGTGTTGTAATGCAGTGTTTAATGCAGCATGTCTTCTTCTTATTAGGCTGTTTAACCCTTGTGACCCTCTAATGTTGCAGGATGCAGTCTGCGGAGAGTAGAGATGGAATCTCATCACTCCCAATGGAAGCCATTTAGACGGAGTAGAATGAGTCGTTCTGTACCACCCAGAGATAGACGTTATCTCTCCATCCATTTCTGAATGAAATCCATCTTTATCGGCCCGGCTATTCACAGCCACCCCAATCTCTGACTGCAGTCTCAGCTATTCAGAGAGTACATATCTCTCCATTCCAAACCGATGGAGAAAAAAATGGAGAGAACTAGAGGGAGGGTGGGAGAGAGCTTGAGAAAAGAGAGAGACAGAGAGAGAGAGAGTGGACTAAACTGCAAAGGAAGTGAGCAGAGAAAGAAACTGTGTTGGATTCCTACAGACAGTCAGTATCACAAAGCAGTTTATTTACTGCCTATATCAGGATGCTTGCTTTAAAAGCTGATCTGGAATCAGATATGAGTTGAGTTTTCTTCCCCCCCACCAATGCCTGTGCAGTTCCGAGTAGGGTTTTTAACCAGCATTGATCGGATTAGGCTGCAGTCTTCCTTTGTTATCATCAGGGTCGTAAATGTTTAAGGAGCATTAGGAAGCACAAACAAGGTGGACGGAGGAAGGCTTAATGCTTAAATGACCATTACTGGATACCTCTCTATCCATTTACAGATTAAAAGCTTTACTGGGTCTCCTGCTCCTCCATCTCTCTCCGTCTGAACACTCATCTGTCTGAAAGGAGGAAAAGTTTTGGGTTCCCCAGGGAGGATGGAGGAAGAGAGAGAGAGAGAGAGAGAGAGAGAGAGAGAGAGAGAGAGAGAGAGAGAGAGAGAGAGAGAGTAAACATGGCCTTTTGTCTGGGCCACGGTGCACCACACAACACACACACAAACACACACGAGCCATGTAATGCCAATGTGCACCACTCTAATTACAGGTCCTGTCTCTCACAGGTTAGAACCCTTTCTCTTACTGACTGACTGATAGCAACATGCTGGAGGGGTAGAGTCATGACACACCAGCCCACACACACACACACTCTGCCCAGGGGCAGAGTGATCATGGAGGAGCAGAGAGCATGAAACCTATTCGTTTTGATTGGACACAGTGGGAGAGAAACCTGTCTGATTATTTAATAGGTCTGTGATTGGTGCTCCTCTGACTCACAGACAGTGTGTGTTTGTGTGTGCGCGTCAGTGTGTGCGTGTTTATAGACGGTTTGGCTGACAACGTCATTGATGGGGCCGGAAGGCGTGCGTTGTTATGATTCTGAACGGTCAGATGGCTAGCAACAATGACAAGAAGCTGGCATGTTGGGAATCATAGGTGGCTCGTTTCAGCTAGTTTTATCTTGTTCTTGATACCATGTCTTGTTTTGAGGTGTTTTGACTGATTTCATGTCAATGCTAATATGGCTAAAATTCGCTAGCTAGCTAACCAACAACTGTAACGATGTATTTGAGAGACAACAAGTGCTCATTGTGCAAATGTATTTATGTTTTCAATAAACATTTGGAGATGAAATATAGTTTATATGTTGTCAACAATCCGTCTGTTTTGCCCCAGAGTTGCGCACGCGTCACTTTTGTTGTTTGGTAGTCGCTAATCACTCTTTAATGATTTAAATAAGCACTGGAGAATGTAGTATTGAGGAGAATTGAGACAAAGCAGAAATACATCACAGTGATTTCATTAACCACACACTGACAATGGTCATTAAACCTGATGTAGCGTTTCAGTTACCATCATCATCGTCACTGCTTCAACACAATATCACCATGTTAGAACTAGGATAGAGAATTGGTGTATGTGAAGTTAATCTATAGGCCTTCTTTATACTATTGATAAAAGTACATTGAATAAGTGCCATCTCTGTGCAATTAAAATACCTGTACTTTATTTGCTCATGTACATGGTCTAGTACAGGGGTATTCAAATCGTACCCTACCAGGTCCGGACTACTGCTGGTTTTCTGTTCTACCTGATAATTAATTGCACCCACCTGGCTTCCCAGGTCTAAATCAGTCCCTGATTAGAGGGGAAGCATGAAAAAAGTTGTGGAACTGGCTTTGAGGTCCACATTTGAATTTGAGGGGTCTAGTCAGTGCATTCACAACAGTTCCAAGCCATTTCATTTAAGGTCAACTGCACACTGAAACAGGAAGAGGAAGTAAGGAAATGTAAGATCATATATTTATTATATTCATGTACACAGTGGAGATGTACGTCTGAACAGCAGATAGATGAAAGCACAGAACACTACCTGAATAAGAGAACACTGGGCGGGGTGTGTAGAGGGGTCGAAACAGAACGAGTTCTGGGGGGTAGGGGGGCAAAGCTGGCCCTCTCCTGTGGTACATAGACATGCTTAAAGGGAGCAGGGTGTTGAGAAAATTCACGTCATCAGTGTTTTGGCATCATGGTTTGTTTTGCATTCTTGAACACCAGCAGAACAGTTCAATGATCCTGAATGGTCCTTCCTGTAACTTTCCACTGTCCAATCAGCACATAGAAGATAGTGTGGGAAAGTCTCGTAGCCTGACTAGAGAGAGAGGAGATCGGTCCACTCAGCGTTGCAGCGTTCAGGAGAGCGAGAGAGCAAGAAAGAAAAAAGGGTTTCATCATCATATTGTTGCTGTGCAGAGTAGTCAGACAGTTCAGCTCTGCTTGTCATGAATGTGCGTCTCATATGCAGTCCCAGCATGCGTCCTCTCCCCTCCTGAATACCCATCAGCCCATTCAGCCAGCTACCTGCAGGAGGCACGGCCCACCGGGCAGAAAAATGCTAAAAATGTCTGCTTCACCTCTGGAGGTGCTGGGATAGAAAAAGGCAGAACATCTGAGCATTATTCAGCACCATTTAGCATTATTTGGTGCTACAGCGAACAGAGGCAGGGACAACGCGAACAGAGGCAGGGACAACGCATCACCAGGGATACACAGAGTGACAGACAGAGCTGAGTACAGATGCAGCAGGAAAACATTATAGCCATTGAACATCCTCTGATCTGATAAGAGTCTTCCATATAGGCTTCACACCCATGTCCAACACACAAAGTCATCCTGATGGCCGATATACACTCAATACAACATGACATTGTTTGTGGTAATTACTGCGTGTACGCATAAATAATAGCGTACACATCTGGCATTGACATTTTAATGAGTATGTAGTACAGTACTTCTATCAATTAAAAATGAAAGGTGATTATGAATGTGAAAACAGGGCAGGCAGGTAGAGAGCATAGCAAAGCTGGTTGTCCACACACAGAAACATTTCACACAGAAACATCCATTGAGCGTATGAATGAATCCAATCAATGAATGTGTGTGTTACAGGTGTGGGGTTAAAGGAGAAGTTTAGGAAGGGTTGAGCTCAAATAAGCCTTTCTGCTTTTGTTTCTTTTGTTATTTGTTGAAACTAATAAAAACTATAAGAATGCTGCTCTGTCATCATCCACTGTGTGCCTGGCTGTAGCAGCAAAGCTGTGGCTGAGGTTGTGAGGCTGTGTTACAGTAGAGAGCTGATGCTTTAGGACCTACAGAGTGTGAAATAGATCAGTAAGGGTAAGCTACAGCACTAATACTGCCATATCAGCTTTCACTCACTCTTCCTCTCCGTCTCTCTCGTTCTCCCCCTCCGCTTTCCTCCCTTCTTCTCTCCCTGTACATGTTCCTTACAGAGTGTGTGTAGTGTGTGTCAATCTAGTTCCTTGTGTCCCTTTCTGTTTGTGTTGTTCTTGCTTAGTTTTTATTTCACTCTGACTGTCTCTCCACAGTGGACAGTATAACTAAGCCACGGTGCTGCTAACGTTCCTGTGTCAGGCCAATGATGGATTAAAATGCTCAAGTCCAGGGCAATCAGCCACCATTGAACTAATATTTAACTGTGCGTGTGTGTATGTGTGTGTGTGTGTGTTTATGATAGAGCTGTAATATGAGCGAACAAGAACAGTCAAATAATCCCTTCAGCTACCCTCCTACTCTATGTCAGTTGATTTAACGCATGGCTTCTCAACTTATTTATTTCAGAGATATTGATGTAAATAATTGGTATCCTCTCCTCCTCTCCCTTCTCCCTCTCTCAATCTGTCTGTTGGCAGTGGCGAGGTGTCAGTAGACGACAAACGGCCGCGACAACAATTAAAAAATAACAACAGGCCTCGTAAAGACCCCACACAGGCCTGACAGGCACATCAATCTACTGCCTATTTTCCACCCTGCTCTCAATTAACCCCAGTAGGAGATCTGTGAGCGGCTAGCTGACCTTGGCATTAATGATGCTTGTGTTCTATGGAATGGAAGTATAGATCTTCAGGTAAGCATGTTCCTCTTTTCTTTAGAAAATAATGACTGATTGACAGACACTATGTGTAAGGGTCTGTTGTTAAGGTGGAGATGGACAGTTGGTGTGTGTGTGGGGTTATAATTGTATATTAGTGCCTGGGGAGACATGCAAGACGCATACTGCAGACCTACCGCCACTCCAGCCCCTCCCTAACCCAACAACCCTTCTCCCTCCGTCCCTCCCTCCCTCTCTCTCTCTCTCTCCCCTCCTGCACCCCTCCTTTCTCTGTCCACCACCATCTCCAACCCCTCCGGATGGAAGTTCATTTTACACGTTCTCCAGAAAAAAACATTAGTGTCAGCAAAAGATTTATAAGACAGAGGAAATAGAGGGCCAGCGATTCTCTATGGTATGTTTGCGCTCGAGGGTCTCTCTCTCTCTGTCTGGTTCACTCTTTCTTTCACTCCCTCTATCGCTCCTCACCAACGGTTTTCCCCAAGAGCCCACCAGAATATAAAGGGCTCAATTCAATCAAACCCGCATTGCAGTATTTACGCAGTAGCTCTTTCCAATGATCAAATTAACTGACAGATTGGTCTTGGGTGCTGTATAAAAACCTACAACAATTACCAGGGGGACTTCTCTCACAGGTATGCTTTCACTTTTCAGAATTAGAAGTGTGTGGGCACGGGATGAATATTGTAAACATAGACGCTGTGTAAACATTGCAATGGGGGGTTTGAATGAATTCCAGCCAAAGAGTTCACGCCAGGTCATATTATCTCAACTAAAACAAGTAAAAAGTGCAGAGGAAATGGACGACACACAATAAACTCACTCCATCTCCCTCTCTGTTTCTTTCTCTCTCCCTCTCTGTTTCTTTCTCTCTCTCTCTGTTCCTCTCTCTCCCTCTCTGTTTCTTTCTCTCCCTCTCTGTTTCTTTCTCTCTCCCTCTCTGTTTCTTTTTCTCTCTCACTCTCTCTCTGTTTCTTTCTCTCTCTCCCTCTCTGTTTCTCTCTCTCTCTCTCTCTCTCTCTGTTTCTTTCTCTCTCTCCCTCTCTGTTTCTCTCTCTCATTCTCTCTCTGTTTCTTTCTCTCTCCCTCTGTTTCTTTCTATCTCTCTCTCTGTTTCGTTCTCTCTCTCTCTCTGCCTGCGAGTGTCAACCCCAGACGGGCGTCTACACCTGCTGAGAAGATATTAGATGTTTTACTTGCTTTATTAATCATATTGTTTCCGTTTTTTTTATTATGCTGTTAAATTTGTATTTATGCCGCTGGTTATTCTCCCAGGCCTGTGCTGAATCATATGGACACAGATAGAACAGTAAACCAAAAGTGCTTGCATTATGAACACCTGGTCTTTCCATGACATAGACTGACCAGGTCAATCCAGGCGAAAGCTATGAACCCTTATTGATGTCATTTGTTAAATCCACTTCAATCAGTGTAGATGAAGGGGAAGAGACAGGTTAAAGAAAGATTTCTAAGCCTTGAGACAATTGAGACTTGGATTGTGTATGTGTGCCATTCAGAGGGTGAATGGGTAAGACAAAAAAAAGTGCCTTTGAACTAGGTATGGTAGTAGGTGCGAGGCGTACCGTTTTGTGTCAAGAACTGTAACGCTGCTGGGGTTTTTCATGCTCAACAGTTTCCAGTGTGTATCAAGAATGGTCCACCAACCAAAGGACATCCAGCCCAACTTCACACAACTGTGGGAAGCATTGGAGTGAATATGGGCCAGCATTCCTGTGGAACGCTTTCGACACCTTGTAGAGTCCATGCCCCGACGAATTGAGGCTGTTCTGAGGGCAACTCAATATTAGGAAGGTGTTCCTAATGTTTGGTATACTCAGTGTACATTCCTTTCTAACACTGACTGTAAGCACTTCTCCATCACTGGAGAGTATAGAGTTATGAATGGACAGAGTGAAGCTTGGATATACTAAAGCGCCATCGGACTCATGGTAACCTGTCACGTCTTCACCAAAGGAGAAAATTACTCACATTTCATATATCAAGTCACTCAGTTTAACCCCCCTCTGTCACTGTGGAGTTGGTTCACCCCTATGTCTGTCATACATGACAAGTCTCCATCGGGCAAAACCATCACCTGACAGTGGGAGGGGAAGCAACAAAAGGAAGAAAGCAATAAACACTAGAGGTCCTTTATCTTCTCTTATTTTCTCCCTCCTCTCTCTCTGTGTGCCTTTCTCAGAGTCTCTGTGTCTGTGTGCGAGGGGCTCTTGGCCGCGTGAAGAGGGGTAGCCCCCCCCCTCCCCTTACCCCCAGCTCAGAGAGGCAGACAGTAGCAGAAGGAGCAGCAGCAGGGAGGGAGGGGGCGCTGAGGACAGACGGGGGGACACCCCCCCACCCCCAGAACCCAGATTGGACACCGTGGCCTTCTCAGCATAGAGAGGGATCACGTCAAACTGCCCCCCCTCCTCCTCTTCCTCCTCCTCATCATCTTCCTCACTCTGCTCCACCTGAGATAGAGAGAGAGATATATATTGTTAGAGTAGAGGAAGAGAGAATGGGATGAGTGAGGAGAAGAGAGGAGAGACAAGAAAGTGGAACAATGTATTGTAGAGCAATGGTTGAGACGAGAGAGGCAGAGAGAGAGAGGAGACTTGGAGAGGAGAGATGCATGTGGAGATGAGAGAGAGGAGAGAGAGAATAGAGCAGAGAGGTGTGGGAGAGAGATGCTGAGAGAGGAGAGATGAGAGAGAGAGAGATACTGCCGAGAGTGAGGGATTACAAATAGTAGGAACACAGAAGAGCGAGGGAGATCGTGAGCTGGCACGATGAGAAAAGAGGGAAGAGCGGAGGTAAAGGAGATGGACACTGATTAGGAGGAAATTAGAGGCGAGAGAGAGCAGCGAAGGAGAGAGAGAGCGGGATAGACAGATGGGCATGCATAAATTAATACTGATGAAATCTGATTGATGCACTGCCTCCTGCAAACACCTTCATCTAATCCTCTCAGAGAGAGGGGGGAGAGTGGGAGAGCGAGAGGGAGAGAAAGAGAGAGAGAAGAGAAAGAAGGAAAGAGTACTAGAAAAGAGTTGAGGGAAGAGAGGGAGAAGAGAATTTAAGCCGATGTGAAGAGAGAACGGAGAGGCAGACAGCCAAGAGAGAAGGAGAGGGTGACAGAAGAGACAGAGAGAAGAGAGACAGGAGAATGAGGAGACGAGAGAAGGAGGCGAAGGAGAGGAGAGTTGGAGGTGATTGAGGAACGCTTGAGAGAGAAGACGAGAGAGAGAGAGGAATGAGGAGATTTGAGAGAGGAGAGAGGATAGACGGAGCAGAGAAGAAGAGACGACGTGGGGAAGAGAGAGGAGAGAAGAAGAGAGCGAGAGAGAATGAGAGAGACGAATGGACGAGATTCTAGGAGGAAGAGAGAGGAAAGAGAGAGAAACGGAAGAGAAAGAGAGTATTGGAATCCCCCTGGTCTAGCTGGCGGCTCAGATAATCTCTAGCTGTGTTGAGCATGCGGGGAGCAGAGGAGACACAAAGTGCTTCACTGTCACTCTGCTCAATGGACCAGACAGGGTTTAGCGGTCAGCCACCAGCGGTCACTCCTGTGGTCAATGGTCATTCCAGCAGCCTGTGGTCACTACATTGTTCAATGGTCATTCCAGCAGCCTGTGGTCACTACATTGGTCAATGGTCTAGAGGTGTGTACTAGGTCGAGCATTCAGTACTTGATGGTTAGTGTTCAGTCAGGTGGTCAGTGTCTAATCGAACGGTCAGTCAGTGGTCAGTCCATCTGTTTGTGGTCAAGCTGGCAGTGGTCAGTGCGAGGTCAAGCTGGCCTGGAAGTGGTCAGTGCTGGGTGGAGTGGTATTTTACTTTGCTTCATTTGATTGCCAGTTGTGTGATTAGTGTTTAGAGGAGCAGTGCATGTTTCTGAGTGATGGTAATTCATCTAAAGTCGTGAGTCGTTCAAAACTAACAACGTTGCATAGTGTTGAGTAATGTTGAATAGTGTTCAGTAATGTAAGGTAGTGTTGGGTAGTGTTGAGTAATGTTAGGTAGTACTGGGTAATGTTAGGTGGTATTGGGTAATGTCAGGTTATGTTAGGTAATATTGGGTAATGTTAGGTAAATGTTGGGTAGAGTTGAGTATTGTTAGGTAGTATTGGGTAATGTTGAGTAATGTTAGGTAGTATTGGTAATGTTGATTAATGTTAGGTAGTACTGGGTAATGTTAGGTGGTATTGGATAATGTCAGGTTATGTTAGGTAATATTGGGTAATGTTAGGTAATGTTGGGTAGATTTGAGTATTGTTAGGTAGTATAGAGTAATATTAGGTAGTATTGGGTAATGTTGACTAATGTTAGGTAGTATTGGGTAATGTTGAGTAATGTTAGGTAGTATTGGTAATGTTGAGTAATGTTAGGTAGTATTGGGTAATGTTGAGTAATGTTAGGTAGTGTTGGGTAATGTTAGGTAGTATTGGGTAATGTCGAGTAATATTAGGTAGTATTGGGTAATGTTGAGTAATGTTAGGTAGTATTGGGTAATGTTGAGTAGTAGTACTCACAGCGTTGTTGCTGAGCTCATCCTGGGCGTTGTTGCTGAGCTTGTTCTGCTGGTCCAGGGGGGAGGGGCGAGGGGACGGGGGAGGAATGCTCTCCACTGGCCGAGGGGGGAGCTACCCATGGTACTGATGGAGTTCTCTGTGAGACGGACAGATAGACACATTACATTACATATTGTGTGTGTGTGTGTGTGTGTGTGCGTGTGTGTGCACGTTCACATGCGTGCATGAGAGCGAGTGTAGCTGACTATTTGACAGATTGATGGATTGAAGTGTGAAGTACTAAATTAATTGCTTGCCGTATGGAAATTGCATTGATTGGTTAGACAGTTGATTGACAGGTAGGTGGATGTATAGACTCACCCAGACAGCGTTGTATGGCTGAAAATGCCCTTGAAAGATCCTACAGGCAGTCCTGCAATGGTTGCACTCGCCCCTCACAATTGCACCACAGGGCACGTCTACAGTGCTGTTGCTAAGGTAGTGGGGGGTCATGATGGTGCCTGGAGGAGGGGGTCAAAGGTTATCGAGGTCAACTCCTACTGCAAAAGGTCAAGTCCTACCGCTGGCCATCTGACGCCCCACTGATCCACCCCTGACATGACCCGCTAACACCCTCTCTGTCATCTTTATCACTCTCTAGTGATCCACCCAAATCTATATCCTAGAATAATCTAACTCTTTATTCTCTCCGTCTCTCTCCTCCCTCATCTCACCCTCTCCATCTTTATAACATACGTATCAACCTTTTCTCTATGAGCTCGTGAATACTGACCAGACTGACCGCGGCAGGAAGGGAGCTATTTCTCTAGGGAGAAGGGAGAGAAAAGAGAGAGAAGAGAGAGAGGAGAGAGACGAGAAGAGAGAGAGAGAGAGAGAGGATAGAGAGAGAGCATAGCGAAGAGATAGAGGAGGAGAGATAGAGAGAGAGAGTCTCTATACTATCGCTATTCTCTCGCTCTCTCTCTCTCTCCCTCACTCCCTCCCTCCCTCCCTCCTCCCTACCTCCCTCCCTCCCTCTCTTTTACCAATGAGTCCGGCATAGGATTTGAGGCACACTGCTCCACTCTCTCTGATACAGCCGGAGGGCGAAAGGCCGGAGGGCTGGCAGTTATGCTGGAAATCAGCCAGTCTGGACCTGAGACAGACACACACACATACACATACGTAAATGTGAGTACTTATAAGAGAAAAATGTGTGTGTTTGTGTACGTTGTGTGTCTGACCTGCAGAGTTGGTCCTTCCTGCAGTAGCTCTGCAGATGCAGACAGTTGGGCTGTATCCCATCTCTCTCCTGGTAGGAACAGGAGGGGACGATGGTCTTCCTGCGTCTCTCCCCACACAGTTTGTCAGTACAGGGGCAGAACAGCACCCCCAGGCTGTACTCCTCCGGGACGCGCTCCAGGAAGCGCCGCAGCGCCCGGTGGCACTTCTGCCTGTTGCAGTGGTCCGAGCCTGGGACAGGCTTAGTGCAGGCCAGGACGTACTCAGACCTCAGGGACCCACATTTCTCATACAGACCACAATCCTGGGCTGCCTTCAGACATGCGTTCTGTCCATCTAGAGGAAGAGAGGAGGCTGAGAGAGAGGGGGATGGGGAAAGATAGAGAGGGGGAGAGATGTAGAAAGAGAGGTATGGGAAAGGAGAGAGAGAGAATGGGAGGGAGAGATAGATAGAGAGAAAGAGGGGAGCGAGGGAGATAGAAAGAGGAGAGAAACTGGACATCTGGTCACTTGAGGGCTGTATAGATGAGTTGATTGATTTGGTTTTGTAGTGTATTGATATATTGATCAGGAGTTTTAATGTAATGGGTGATTGTGTTGTTGGCTACCTGCTGCCACTATGGAGGCCATGTGAGATGTCTCCACTGGCGAGTCGTCATAGGGAGACGCCTCCAAGTCATCATAACCTACATGATCACAGAGGAGAACATCACATTACAACCTCATCATAATAACATGGGAGACGACGTCATATCACAACCTAACATCATTATATCACATCGTAACCTAACCATAACACATGAGCTATGCAGCCCTAATCGCATCATAATCTCCCAACACCACAGGAGACTGAATCACAACATAATCGAACACGCAGGGAAACATCACATCATAACAGGGACTCGATTCACACAGCCACCATTTAATTATATTCACACAGCTTCTGCCAACATCATAATAACACCTACTCTAAAATCTATCATGGATATATTTACCTAATAATAGGCATGTTGTTCCAGATTTGAACTAATTACATGGTACGGGTACAACCTAAATATACATCTATTATTCTGTTCAAATGTAAATCCCGGTCATTATTTTTCATAATGACACGGTAGGGGAGAGCACTCTCTGTGTTGTGTTAGAGTAATGTGTAATTACCGTATGCATGGTGACTAACGGGGCATGGGGAATAACTCCATTAGCTGTCATTCACTCTCATTGATGTGCGGCCGGAATGGCAGCCTATTCCCTACGTAGTGCACTACTTTTAACCAGGGCCCATAGGGAATAGTGTGCCCACTATGTAGGGAATAGGGTGCCATTTGGGATGCTGTCAGATGAGTGGCCGTGCTCTGACGGTAGCATCAGTGGCATCACACGGTGGCTGTAGGGATGTGTCACAGAGGACAGGGTCCAACCTAGTGGTGGCCAAATGGTGAGTCAAGAACCAGTGGTGCTAGAAATCTATACTGGATCCTTACTTCTACAAGCTATTAAACAAACATACACATTTCTGTCACACACACACACGTCTACCTTTTTCACACACGCTCGCACGTACATACACTCACCCTGCAGGATCCTGACACTCCAGTAGGCTCGGAGGCAGTGCTCCTCTCTGCGTGCGCCGCGCTGACACTTGCAGGCCAACAGGGGGAGGTAGTGCAGGGCGCTCAGGGCCTCCAGGCACTCTATCCTGGTCTTGCTCCCCAGCGGAGCCACCGCCTCTTTGGACGCACAGCCCTCCAGGGTCCTGTACAGCTCCTTACACTGGGGATCTGCCTTACACCCCTTCTCTGCCTCCACACAGTCCACAATGCCCGGAGGGAGGGGCGGTGAAGAGTGGACCACATCTAGAGGGAGGAGACAGAGAGGGGAAGGGGAGGGGAGAATGGTCAGCCATCTATACATTCAAAGACTCAATCATGGACACTCTTAAAGACACTTGTGGCTGCTTCGTGTGATGTATCATTGTCTCTACCTTTTGCCCTTTGTGTTTTCTGTGCCTAACAATATCTGTACCATGTTGTGCTGCTACCATGTTGTGCTGCTGCCATGTTGTGTTGCTACTGTGTTGTTGTCATGTGTTGCTACCATGTTGTGTTGTTGTCTTAGGTACCTCTTTATGTGTGTTTTGTCCTACATTTTAATGTTTAATCCCAGCCTCCGTCCCCGCAGGAGGCCTTTTGCCTAGTTAAATAAAGGTTAAATAAAATGTTTTAAAAAGCCGTCTTATTCGGATGAGTAGATGTTCCAAACATTCTAAATGGTCCACTCAATATGGTGGCCAGGGAACCCACTACAGAATGTTGCTTTGGAAAGGGAATGTCCATTCTACTAATATATTTCTCAAATACCATATGAGTCCCATACATTTCCCATCACTCTGTGCCACCATTTATTTGTCTTTGGGCTGAATGCACTGACATTGAATATGAAAAGCCAGTACTGTCCTCTTCTGTATTTCATTTCCATGGATGTGAAGGAATTTTCATTGAGTGAATCCAAATGTATTGTGATGAGTGTTCTATATTGGGTGGAGAAAAGCCAGATCTTACACAGCATGAGGTTTCATATTTGGGAAATACCTAATATTTTACCCCCAAAATGTTCTGCATTATATTTTTGGCTGCTCTCCACTTTTATTTGTAAACCAATACAAAATACTCCCTTGGTAGAGAGAGAGAGAGAGAGAGAGAGAGAGATAGAGAGAGAGAGAGAGGGAGAGGGAGAGAGAGGGAGAGAGAGGGAGAGAGAGAGAGAGGTAGAGAGAGAGGTAGAGAGAGAGAGAGAGAGAGAGAGAGAGACGAACACCTTTTGGCAACACACCAATAACAACCTTGCTGGCTAGGACACTCACAATCTGAGGCACAATCAGCATGTCTTGTGTGTTATGTTCTGAGAAACACACACACGCACACACACGCCCTGAGAGGGATCCTTTTATGTCTGGCTTATGCCGTGGGGGAGACTGAGGGGCGGAGCCTATCATTATTACAAAAACACAACACCACACATCCACAGGAAGGGGTAAAGCATTCTGTCTGTGACACACACAGACACCCTGCCACACACGCACACTAGAAGAATGAAGTGGTTGAGAGAGCAAAAATAGATTAATATTCAACAGAGCAGTAAATGTAAATCGAATATAATGAGTTTCATGAAATAGACTACCCGAGACTCTAGGCACAACATAGATCAACTGGAGAATGCAAATTGACTAAATAAAGTAGAGTGAGGTGTATGTACGCTTAAACACCAGAGCACCAACTACAAAAACAAATAACCCATGTCACTTAAAAACCAGGAAGCTCATTAGACTTCCCCCTAAACTAATCACGCATTGCCATACACATACCAGGCGAATCACTCACTGTCACATGACGTCACATTGACCTCATCACCTTTCAAAAGGAGAAGCTGAGGGGGCCAGTATGTATGTGGTTTATAAGACATTATAAATGTTCATACACATGTTTACAGCCAAGTTATAAAGCATTACACCTATAGGGTTTAAGTAAAGTTACCGTTTTACTTGTAACTGATCCTGGGCCAGTTCTGATGTGTTGTTCATTAATGGTTAGGTATAGGTCATGGATTGGGAGAGCTGGCTCTAGATCAGTGGTTTGGGTGCAGTGCAGTGGAGCGCTATCCCATAGTTCAGTTGAAGGAGCAGTGAGGTATGATGTCATGCAGTCCCCATGGGTACAGCAGAATGGGCATATGACAGAGTTCCAGTGAAGACACACACACACCAAATCTCCCAGCCAAGGAGGCTAAATCCGCACGCACCATCTTTTGCTCCTGTGTTTGAGCTTCCAAATTCTAGTTCTCAACAAAACACACATACGACCCCTAGACTCCCCTAGTCTCTCTCTCTCGCAACAAAACACACATACGACCCCTAGACTCCCCTAGACTCCCCTAGTCTCTCTCTTCCTCTCTCTCTCTCTCTCTCTCTCTCTCTCTCTCTCTCTCTCTCTCTTATCCATAGAGCTCAGAGACAGGATTGTGTCGAGGCACAGATCTGGGGAAGGGTACCAACACATTTCTGCAGCATTGAAGGTCCCCAAGAACACAGTGGCCTCCATCATTCTTAAATGGAAGAAGTTTGGAACCCCCAATAGTCTTCCTAGAGCTGGCCGCCCGGCCAAACGGAGCAATCGGGGGAGAAGGGCCTTGGTCATGGAGGTGACCAAGAACCCGATGGTCACTCTGACAGAGCTCCATAGTTTCTCTGTGGAGATGGAAGAACCTTCCAGAAGGACAACCATCTCTGCAGCACTCCACCAATCAGGCCTTTATGGTAGAGTGACCAGACGGAAGCCACTCCTCAGTAAAAGGCACATGACAGCCCGCTTGGAGTTTGCCAAAAGGCACCTAAAGGACTCTCAGACCATGAGAAACAAGATTCTCTGGTATGATGAAACCAAGATTGAACTCTTTGGCCTGAATGCCAAGCGTCATGTCTGGACGAAACCTTGCACCATCCCTACGGTCAAGCATGGTGGTGGCAGCATCATGCTGTGTGGATGTTTTTCAGCTGCAGGGACTGGGAGACTAGTCAGGACTGAGGGAAAGATGAACAGAGCAAAGTACAGAGAGATCCTTGATGAAAACCTACTCCAGAGTGCTCAGGACCTCAGACTGGGGCGAAGGTTCACCTTCCAACACGACAACGACCCTAAGCACACAGCCAAGACAACGCAGGAGTGGCTTCGGGACAAGTCTCTGAATGTCCTGGAGCCAGAGCCCGGACTTGAACCCGATCGAAAATCACTGGAGAGACCTGAAAATAGCTGTGCAGCGATGCTCCCCATCCAACCTGACAGAGCTTGAGAGGAACTGCAGAGAAGAATGGGGAAAAACTCCCCAAATACAGGTGTGCCAAGCTTGTAGCGTCATACCCAAGAAGACTCAGGGCTGTAATCGCTGCCAAAGGTGCTTCAACAATGTACTGAGTAAAGGGTCTGAATACTTATGTAAATGTGATATGTTTTTTGTATTTTTATATACATTTGCAAGTTGTGTGGAGATTGACAAGGGGAAAAAACAATTTAATCAATTTTAGAATAAGGCTGTAATGTAACAAAATGTGGAAAAAGTCAAGGGGTCTGAATACTTTCCGAATGCACTGTACCCTGTCATTTTTCATGCATGTTCTTTTCTTTCCCTTGCCATCATCCCTCTTCATGAGGAAATCATAATGGAGTTTACAGTTCCCTCTAGGTTGTTCCAAATCATTTCAATTATTTTCTGACTGCACCCCTTTTGATTTCAACAAAACCTTTCATACATGTTTGCCCATGTTGGAAGTAGTCAGAAAGTGACTTTTTGGACCTGAATGCCAAAACTTTCAGGAGATAGCGGTGCTCAAAGTTTACCCATTTTGCATACCCCACCATACCATGAGACATGTCTTCAGCACTGAAAAATATCAACCGTTCAGTTTGATATCATTTGAAAGCTTACAAACAGGGTTGTCAAACTATTCCATGATTTCTTGAAAAAATGTTTTTAATGAAACAATTTTTATTTTATTTTATCTTGAACATCAATTATCTAAAAATGCTTAAACTCCGATTTTCTTTCCATTTTCACAAATGTTGTATCTTAGACCCTATTTTACATCATCTGAGGTGTTTGTGTCATGCCCATCATTGGTTACTGCATAGTCTTGAATACAGGGTGGGTGTCATTTCAATCATAGAAATAGAACTCATAGAATGGACCTATCCCTTCAGACCACTGCAATTTAGCTGGTACACCATTGACATTTCAATTGAATTGAAACTTTAACTTCCAATTACTAACAGAAAGATGTCCACCGGTCCACCCACTGTCGAATGTCAACTTCAATGGGAATGTCTATTCTATTATCTATATTTCTGTGATTTCAATAGGTTTCCTATGGAAGATTGACAGTTTAATTTAAAACAATGGATATTCCCACTCAAATCAACATTATATGATGTGTGGAACTCCAACCATCCATGTGGTACTATTTGAAAATAGAAATTTCAACATTATTCACTTTGAGCACCTCTATCTCCTGAATGTTTTGGCATTCAAGTCCAAAAAGTCACTTTCTGACCACTTCCACCATGGGCAATCATGTATGGAAGGTTCAAATCAAAAGGGGTGCAGTAAGAAAGTGATTAAAATCATATGGAACAACCCCTCTTTATGACCTTTTCCAAAGCCCTGCTGTTCAAACCCCAGCCTCCCGCTATGCGGTAAAATGACCTCCGACGGAGATATCAGGTGGGAGGGAGTCTAGGCCTAATACACTTCGGAACACCTGTCACCGGAGTGTGTGTGACACAAGCTGGGCGCGCGCCCTGGGAGGTTGTCAACACATAGTGCGCGACCCCGCCGTTTGGCGCCCCTTCCCCGTGTCTGTCTCGGCGGCTACTCAAACACACCTGGACGCGCATCTGGCGGCCACAAGCACCTGCGTGCCGATAAGACCTCAACCACGATTCCGCTGTTTGCACACCGGTGTCGGTTGAATGCGCTTCCTCATTGAACAACAACTTTACAATTTATTCTATGTGCGGTTGGAGGTGAGGTGAATTTGTATTAAGATTTTAAAAAATCGAAAGAGACCTGTAAGCCAAAAGGGTGTTTGCATAAATCAAACCACGCTCACCAGGGGCGAGGGAGAGAGAAGGAGAAACAGACACCGCACTGATATACGATGCGACCCTTGGGACCCTTGTCGCTTAGGCCTACACCAGCACATCAAACACACAATAATTAACTCGGCTAATAAATAAAAACCTGTCGATCCGTGGGGGAATTATGCGTGTAGCCTATGCCTCAGGCGGCAGCAACTCACAGAGGGAGCGGAGACGTGGGGATGCCAACTTCATTATATCAAAAAATAGTGGTTGTACAAGAGCCTTTGTCCCAAGTCTGGAATGAAAATGTCTTAAGTCTTTTTTTTATTTTTTATTTTTTATTAATCAGATCACAACGTTTCAATGCAAGTCGTTTCCAATTGTTTCGTAAAGTCTCTCATTTCACCAAATATTCCTGCTGTCATAAAGGTTTTATTAAGAGCAGTTTACATAGCCTAGAGTCAAGGAATACATTCCTTGCATAGAGCACATTTATGTGGAAAATTAGAAGCCATGCCTGCATCCAAAGCTCACTGAAAACGAGCATTTCAGCCATGAATGTAAAAGGTTAAATCAAATAATTGGCGTTATGTGGGCAATCAGCCTTATTAAGTCTTCAAATCATCAAATACTTTAAATACGAGATGAGTAAGGTGTCATGATTGCCTATAAAATCATATTGCTAAAAAAACTAATTTTAAGGTCAGAATAGGCTAGATATAGCCCGAATGACTGACTACAAAAATGGATGTAACAGCATGGATACCTTCCTGCATCTTACCTCTTATGAAGATGCCGAGCAGTATTCCGAGGAACAACATCTCCGTTATCGGGCGGGAAGAGGCACCGGGACACGGATAGGGAGATGGAATTGGACTTCGTGCGTTTGCTCCGCCACCGCTTTATTCGTCCACACACCGCTCCGCTCAATGTTACATCCAGCGGGAGTCACGCTCTACTGTTCTGGGTACGTGTTGCAGATGTATAGTCCTGTATAACGATTAATTCCTTAGATTACACTGGTCGAGAAGGCAGCTCAGATAGTTTGACTGTCACCACCGCCAAAGTGCGCAGCGTGTAGCGGGTGCCCCCGTAGACTAACACAATTAATCAAGACTCCAAAATACAGCTGTGGAACATCAGGTTACTCTGCATCCATAGATAGTGTCAAAATTCGAGATCATTTTTCTCACGCCATTTCTCTCTTGGCAGTGGCACTAGAGGAGCCCGTCTACATGCTGCCTGAGACGGTGAGAGACCCTGAGGATGACAGAGGCAGAGTGGTTGGGTTATTAACCGGCTGTCCCTCCTCCTCGCCTCGTCCGTTCACTGTGCGACAGTGGGTTAAATGACAGACACTGTTGCGTCCTGATGATTGGCTCAGAAGAAGAAGTTCTCAGACGCGACGACTGGGGACATATAGTTAGGGGTGTCCCAGGCTATATTAACTCTGGACATATTCGAGTTTCCTCATAGTTTCAAACCAAATAGGATTTCATGGACGTTTGTATTTCATGTAGCCTACCGTATTCCAACAGACATGTCTGAATGCAGGTCCCCTTATCTTTTGACTGATGACATGATGCCCAGGTGTTTACTCATGTCGGGCCAATCAAACTCAGGTCATCCAAGTAAATGTTGGCCTTTGGACCATCCTGTCAACACCTCTCACTGTTGTGAAAGATTTTGGCTAGAGCACAGGCTATGCTATCATGGCTTCAGATCTTTTTGTGCACTTGCCAACTCAATTGCTTATTGTCAAGCCAAACGCTCCCTTTTTAATGACTGACAAACTTTTCTATTCTGTATATTCTATTGCTGCCATGCCATTCTATCTATTCTACAGTATATTCTATTTTGTTCTATTCTATTTTGGGGGTGAGTGTTGAAGTGGATGTGTAGCCTAATGTGCAAGTGGAGAAGAGGCTCAGGGAGGTTTATGGCTGGGCAGCCATAAATAATTATGACAGAGGCAATGAGAGGAGGATCATGAGTCTTTCAATTATTCATGCAATTTCATAATTGGCAAACTCACTGGCTTGAGAACTGTGTAGTTTACGAGCTGGAATCTGCATGCTAATGAAGGCAACCTGTCAGGATGTCACTGATTATAAGACAATGGATCAAAAAAACAATGGGGACACTTATGAAAAACATTAGGCTACTGTGTTAGGCCTACTGTTTTATTGCACAACAATGATCAGAATATTCAACTTTAATCTTTAAGACCGAGGAGAGAGAGAGAAAAAAACAACCTATATGACTTCGGCTGTTGCTGGCATTCGCAATCCGTTATTCACTGCTTGTTTGCTATTTTCAACCTCAAATTGCAAACAGGAATCATCAGTGGGGCCATTTGAATGATGACACACACAGACACCCACACGTTATGGTCTTGTCCCATCAAAGAAATTACATGCCTCTGTGTTGTCACCCCAGAGGTCGTATAACCCCACAGCCTGTTGGGTAATCACCAGGACCAATCCATTCAGCTAATCAGGGAAGAGCTCCTGGACAATACTATGACAACGCTGTGACAACACATTAGAACGTCTCCAAAACCATCTGGCTAGAACTACTGTTCCACCTTCCTTCTCTACCTCTTCTCAACTCTCTCTCGCCCTCTCTCTATTCACTCTTTGACCACCCTTACCAAGGTTTCCAAACAGTTTCTCTCATACTCAACCCTTCTCTGTCTTCCCCGGTTTTCTCTCACACTAGTACTGCTGAAACTGCTGTCTACTATAATAATACCATACTGTACACTAATACCATTATCCTAAATCAGACCAGATTTATAGACTGTTATGTTTTCATTAATGTGTACTATGCCTGTGCATCAACATCCATTTGTAAAGGAGTAGATACATGACCCACTGGGCACAGACATCAATTCAACGTCTATTCCATGTTGGTTCAACGTAATTTCATTGAAATGACGTGGAAACAACGTTGATTCAACCAGTGTGTGCCCAGTGGGGAGGTGAGTAGGGTGAATATCCACACAGGCATGTAATACTCAGATATTGTTACACAATCTCACAAACAATTTCACACGCAATTTCTCTCACTCTCTCCCGTTTTATATTATTTTTAGTTCCACTTGAAATGGCAAATGACAAAACAATCAAAGGCAGTGAGACAGTAGTTTACCAGCTCACAGAACCAGGAAGACAAAACAAACAAGACATTCAGTGAAATCTACAAGATACAGGGGAAAGGGATACTGAAGGCATTCGACTGAAATGTGTCTTCCTCCCTGTGATTGATTGATTGATTTTATTTGCCAGTTTTAAAAAACACATACACACAGTGCATACATTTTAAAACATGACAGGGATCCTATAGACTTACTTCCATTGTGGTCCCCAAATTCCATGGTGCAAAAAATATAAAATGACATAGTGTCACGGATTCAGCCGAGGCTGCTCCTCCTCCTTGCTCGGGCAGGCTTCGGCGTTCGTCGTCACCGGAGTACTAGCTGCTACCGATCCATGTTTCTGTGTTAGACTTGTTATGTCTTGATTATGTACACCTGTTTCCCATTATGTTGTATTGTCTTCCCTATTTAACCCTGTCGTACACTGTGTGTTGTGTGTGATTGTATTCGTGATCGGCTGTCGTTAGTGTGAGGGTTATTTCCTCCCTGTGTGGAGATTGTATATGCTCAGTTTACTTTCAAGTAAAGTACGTTTCAGATAAGCTCTGTGTCCTGCTTTTGACTTCGCCCACCTCAATTCACTGACGCCTTTGACAGAATCACACACCTACACATGGAGTCAGCAGGAGCAGCGGTGCCAGCCGGATCAATGGAAGAACGCGTACATCAACAAGCGGCCATGATCCAGGCTCTCGGCACCGCCATGGAACGTGTGGTGAACACAATGGAGCGATGGGAGAGAGGAGGTCTGCCTACACCTCCTCCGATTACACCACCACCATCATCAATACCCATCGCTTCACCTCCGGGGTCCAGTGGGATTCGGCTCTCGCTCCCGAGGGCTTATGACGGCACAGCTGCCGGGTGTCAGGGTTTTCTGCAACCATCCACCCGGCCCCCTCGGGATACGAGAGCGTGTCCGCCCTCATCTCCTGTCTGTCCGGTAAAGCGCTGGAGTGGGCCAACGCCGAGTGGGGGGGAATAGACGCCGCTACTGTCAGCTATGCGGAGTTCACCCGCCGCTTTAGGGCGGTATTCGATCATCAGCTGTTTTTCTAACCTCATTGTCTGAAGCGTTAACGTTAGGTAGTAAGTGGCTACTGTGCTTGCAATTTAGCTAGCTTGTTGCTACCTGGATGGCTACTAAACAATAGCTGGAACGACCTAGCGAACAGACACGAACTGGCTGAGTCAATCCAGTGGCTAGCTTTGCACTTGGCTAGCTAACAATAGCTGCTAGGTGTAAGTTATAACCTACATTTGTGTTTTGTTTTTACATACTGGTAGCCAGAGTCGTTCAAGGGAATTCAGGACAAGGGTGACTAGTTAACGTTAGCTTGGCTCTCTCTGTGTGTTCGTGCCGTGGGAGGAGGGGTTTCTTCGTTGTCTGAAAGCAATGGCTAGCTAGTATGCTAACTATTCTAGCTAACTAACTGGCTGAATAAATTGACGACGGACTCGCTAAAGCTGTCGGGACTAACCCACAACGTTAGACACGGACACAAATGATCTGCTTGTCGTGTTGACACACTGGTGGTTTGTTGTGTCCGACTATTGGTGCTAAACCGTGTTGTTGGAGTCCGGCATGCTAGTTGGCTGTGGCATCATATGACTAGGTGCCCTGGACGATTTTCACGGAAGAATACTGTACCAAGTTAGCTAGCTGAATAAACTAAGTTAGTCTATTCCTAGAAAACATTGAACCGCTGTAGTTTACAACAATTATAGTTTCTGAGGTGGAAGTTGGGAGAGTTATATTTGGGTGTTTCAGTGAAACGTAAGTGAGGGAGGCCCCGCTCTCTCCTTTCCCAGATGTTTAGTTCATTTCATTCCGATTTCCTTTGCATTATTGTAACCATTTTCTGTAGCCTGTCAACTATGCCTCTGTCTATCCCTGTTCTCTCCTCTCCGCACAGGCTATACAAACGCCTCACACCGCGTGGCTGCTGCCTCTCTAACCTGGTGGTCCCTGCACGCACCACCCACGTGGAGTTCCAGGTCTCAGGCAGCCTCTGGAACTGCCGTTCTGCTGCCAACAAGGCAGAGTTCTTCTCAGCCTATGCTACCCTCCAGTCCCTCGACTTCTTGGCGCTGACGGAAACATGGATTACCACTGAAAACACTGCTACTCCTACTGCTCTCTCCTCGTCTAACCATGTGTTCTCGCATACCCTGAGAGCATCTGGTCAGCGGGGTGGTGGCACAGGAATCCTCATCTCTCCCAAGTGGACATTCTCTCTTTTTCCCCTGACCCATCTCCTACCAAGTGGCGTGGCGAGAATCTGTCTCCGCACCACGTGCTCTCACCACTGGTGTCCCCCAGGGCTCAGTTCTAGGCCCTCTCCTATTCTCGCTATACACCAAGTCACTTGGCTCTGTCATATCCTCACATGGCCTCTCCTATCATTGCTACGCAGACGACACACAACTAATCTTCTCCTTTCCCCCTTCTGATAACCAGGTGGCGAATCGCATCTCTGCATGTCTGGCAGACATATCAGTGTGGATGACGGATCACCACCTCAAGCTGAACCTCGGCAAGACGGAGCTGCTCTTCCTCCCGGGGAAGGACTGTCCGTTCCATGATCTCGCCATCACGGTTGACAACTCCGTTGTGTCCTCCTCCCAGAGTGCGAAGAGCTTTGGCGTGACCCTGGACAA